AGGCTTTCTCTGTGCTCACACAAGGCTATTTCAGGGAATAAGCTGCTTTCTGGCCTGACCAAGTGGGATGCCTGAACTGAGGCAACAGGGAGGTTCTGTGCACGACGGTGACAAGCCACTTCCAGAAGTAAACACCAGGTTTCCTCTGTGCTCACTCAGGTACTTTGGGGAACAATCATGGCTGACCAAATGTGACCCCTTAAGAAGGCAACGGGGAGGTCCTCTGCACCTCAACGGAGGTGACAAGCCACTTCTAGTAGGGAACACCAGGTTTCCTCCGTGCTCACACAGGTACATTGGGAACAATATTTTTTGGCCTGACCAAGTGCGATGCCTTAACCCAGGCAACAGAAATGTCCTGTGCACCTTGACAGAGGTGACAAGCCACTTCCAGAAGGGAACACCAGGCTTCCCCATGCTCACGCAGGTACTTGGGGGAAAAACTGCTGTCAGCCCTGACCAAGTGGGAACTCATAACCCAGGCAACAAAAAGGTCCTGTGTCCTGGACGGAGATGACAAGCCACTTCCAGAAGGGACCACCAGGCTTCCTCCGTGCTCAGGCAGGTATTTTTGAAAACAAGCTGCTTTCTGGCCTGACAGGACTGACGTTGGGGTAGAGGGGAGAATGAGAAAGATGGGTTAAATAATGTATACTGCATTGAAACAGATGAGGGAGAAACCTGTTTAAAAGGGATATATGATTAGGTCTTATTGTCATGACGGGAGTCTAGATCGAAGGCTGCATAGTGGACTGGACTTGGGGGTAGGGCTTGTATAACAATGAAAGAATTTTTCTTTTACTTTTGAAAGAGAAGAACAATATAGGCGGAGGGGTGGGCAAGGAAAAAATGCAACAATGAATGAATGGAAATCTGAAGTCTCTAAATTTTCATTAAAACTAATAATAAAAAAAGATGCTAAAAAAAAGAATCAATTTTGCACAAAGCAGATTTCTCATTAGCAGGGGTGAAAGCTATCTCCCAGCTGTTCATTCCATTTATAATGTGGTAGACAACAAAAGCCTAGCTCATTTGTAAACTAATCTTGTGCCAGTGAAAGATGATACCAGCCTAGGTACCTAAAAGTGGCATGTACATAGTAGCTAAGCCCAGTTATTATTTTTCAAGGATAAGAAAGAGAGAAGGTAGATAAAATAGGCTAGTGATTATGAATACTCAGAAAAAGACGAAATGCTCTTATAGAATGCATATTCTTATATAATTTGAACTGTCTAGACATTTACAATAGTATGCCACTGAAGGGATTAACTGGCCTGGTTCACATTTCCAGAGTCTCAGTTCTTCCACTGATCTGTTGTCAGGCATTTTATATTCATCCCTATTAGGTTCTGGGAAGTCAGTTTTGAATATGCATGTCCCATAATCCTATAAAGAGAAGCAAGTAAAAGTCATTCTGGTTCCATGATCAAGATGAAGAAAAAAGGTTCAGACTAGTCTGTCCTTTGTGGCCTCATCTCAAATGTAAGAGGCACTGAAGGAAAATTTCATGTCTCAACACCCACTGCCACACTATGACTAGGCAGTCCCTGAGGTTGTGTCCCATCTCAACTTCGTGCTTCCATTTCTCATGGTTCTTGGTTGTTATTGTTGGTGCACACCATTTAGCGGATTATGATTCAGTGTCAGAAGAGAACTGCTTCACAGGGTTCTTAGGCTGAAATCTTCATTTACTAGATGAGATTACCAGGGCTTTTTTTCTCCCATGGAGAGCAAGTAGGTTAAAACCACTTATTTTTTTACTTTATCTGCTTCGATACAGTATATATTATTTACCCCATCTTTCTCAGTCCTCCTCCCAACCCCAGTGTCAGTCCTATTTTAAAACAGTGGCACTATGCAGTATAAGTCCTTTTGTGACTGAGATATTTCACTTAGCATAATGTCCTCCAGGGTCACCCACCTTGAATAATATTGCATGAGTTCCTTGTTTTTCAATGCAGCATAGTATTCCATTGTGTGAATATACCACAGCTTCTCTATCCATTCATTTGTTGATG